GTCATAACATTGTCAAAGTTTACTGCGGAACCACTCACCTGCGGCTTGTGGTTCCACAGCCACTTTGACAATGTTATGACGCAATTTATCATCAATAAGAGGACAGACGCATAAAAAACTGTCGCCAATTTGTTAATTCCAACTTCGAAGCAAGAGAAATTTTTGGCGGGCGTTACGTACACGTATCAAATTGGTCGGCATGTGCACATTTTCCAAGATGAATCGGAAGTAACAGACTGTGCTGTCTTTTATTGCCACTGTTGAGAGGTCACGAAGGCAAACAGGTAAACAAATATTATTTGCTGTTCTAGTTTTCACAACGATGACGAAACAATCGACTTACTACACTTACAATTCAGCTGAGCACGCATCCACGGTGAGAATAGGAAGGTAGTCTTCGTCATGAAATGTTACTCACTGGGATCAAAGGTGTTCCAAATGCATTCTAAGAGACGGTTTGAAACGTGTCTTAACAATAAAACCCTTCAATAACGCGAGTGTTCAGATTTTAAAGGGACACAGTCAGCTGGTGTACATGCGCATTAGATACCATTTCATAGCTAATTTGCATATCACAGAGATGCGATCCAGACTGCTTTTAACCAAGTGTGATAAAAATAACATCATAAGATGAACAAAAGGAGACTCAAAAACAGGTTTCTCAGTAAACGATTGAAAATCAAGCAAAACACTGCGAAGATTGAAGCGGATTTCTAGATGTACTCGACGAGTATCTTTGCTTCAGGTTGAGGTGAACTATTTTCAAAGTAAGAAAACTAATGTCCAAGTCAGCGCGGTCCCAAAGCTGACTGTGTCCCTTTAAGACAAACGAAAATAACAAAATTGAAGCAGAATATAGCTGATTCTGTACTGATATTTCATGTATGTGACAGGAACAATTTCACGAGAAGTCGCCTCAATCCTTCTGATTCATCTGCAGCTCTTTTTCGTTACGAAGAATTAAACGATATTGATATTGAAACTTTTTATTGAACTTACATATTAATTGAAATAGTAATAATAAAATTACATTAGATTCATGTTATTGCAGTTCAATTGAATAGAATTGCAAACACAATGTAACAAGTACCAATGGTATGAAAAGCATTCTGTAGTTCTGTATAAAGTGTGTAGGGGCCTCTAACAAAATCACTTTTGGGTGCCAAAAATGCATCAGAATGTATTTCAATGCGCACAAAGTCTTAAAATTGTCCAGGGCTAGCACTTCATCCCTCCCCCACCCCCACTACGCAAGAAGAGGTAACCCACTGTGGCACTCTCCCCCACATGGCCGCCTTTATCTGACCCAGTAGTGCTCCGCCTACTTTAAGATTTCCTCCTGCTACTTTATTTCAATTTCTTGATTTTTTTATTCACTGGGACTTCTGTAAACCGTCACTGCTGGGACTGAGATTTGGGCGCAAAATAGGCTGGGAAATGGGATTTCGAACCCCCAGTCTAGGACCCTCTAATTTTGAAACAATGCTATAGTTTTACAAGGTACTCAAAGTTACGTTAACTCGTTACAATAGTATGAGAAACATTCTACTACGGTGTATAGTGATTAACACGATTACAGATTTTGAGTCCATTTTTATATTACCCTAGGATCAACCTGTTTAAAAAAAAAGCCAAAATCGGCCCAGTAAAAAGTTAAAACTGATGGTTTCTATCATACAAATGATCAGGCTGACATGCTTTCTCGAAAAAAGCTATTTACAGCGCAAACTATATAATTAAAGCAGTTTCACCACTGAATTGTCACGAATTACACTGCAACAAGACAATCACTAATTTCAATGTCTTTTGCACGTCTCATATTCTTTCCAGTTGGAAAGAAATGCCAGAATTCCCCCACATGGCCGCCTTTATCTGACCCAGTAGTGCTCCGCCTACTTTAAGATTTCCTCCTGCTACTTTTTTTCAATTTCTTGATTTTTTTTATTCACTAGGATTTCTGTAAACCATCACTGCTGGGACTGAGATTTGGGCGCAAAATAGGCTGGGAAATGGGATTTCGAACCCCCCAGTCTGGGACCCTCTAATTTTGAAACAATGCTATAGTTTCACAAGGTGCTCAAAGTTATGTTAACTCGTTACAATAGTATGAGAAACATTCTATTACGGTGTATAGTGATTAACGCGATTACAGATTTTGAGTACATTTTGATATTACCCTACGATCAACCTGTTTCAAAAAATGCCAAAATCGGCCCAATAAAAAGTTAAAACTGATGGTTTCCATCACACAAATGCCCAGGCTGACAGGCTTTCTCGAAAGCACTATTTACAGCGCAAACTATCTAATTAAAGGGCCCTAGTCAGTCACACCTTTGTTTTTGTTTACGTACCAGAGTTTGGCCATTACATTTTATCCGGAGCATGTCAAAACGAGGGAAATCACTGTGAAACTACTGAAGATGATAAACATACCATCAGGAACATAACTTACAGTAAAGCAATAAGACTTCACTTCACCATGCAACATCAATAATTTCGATCGCGTCGAAAATGGCGGAGGCTGACTAGGGTCCTTCAAGGCTCGATGTCCACCGCTGAGTCGACTGAGTCCGGTATTCGCTCCTCCCCGAAATGCGAGCTCCTACCAAACAACATCTCCTGTCTACCTTAGTTCCCCTTAGTTCTGTTCAACGGAAACGGGAATGTAAAACCTTTCTAGCCACGAGCTCAATAGATGCTGTTTCAGCATTTCCTGATTCAACGTCAGTGACTTGCACCTTTAATTCGGTGCCACCAAACTTTACATCTAACCTTAGTTGCCTGTCAAGACCCTTGGTGGTGTCAGGAGTTGAAATCAAAATTTCAACGTTTTCACTTATAACTCCGGGGTCGGTGGTGAATTCAGCATCTTCTTGATCTGTGCTGTAAAAAGGGAAAGAGATCTCTGTCGAGTCGGGATCGACGGGAAGGAAAGTGTGCGTTCGCGTGTCCTCGATATCTACTCGTTCGCCCTTCTTTACTAATGTGGCAAAAATGTCACGACAGTACACTTTATGTGGGCGGACTTCTCGTTTCGTTCGAGGATGCTTTTCAGGATCAAACTTCCGACAGGTACGTACGCCATAAGTCTTGCCCATGACCCTTGCCCGAAGCAAAGTCGGATCTTGAGCAAACTCCAAGGCGCCCCGAATTATGGCAAGCTGGGGGTCTTTTGGAATGAGAATGCGTTTGTCAGAAAAGCTGCGAGAAAATTCTTTTCGCAAAAATTGGGCTTCAGAAAAGCCACCGACAAGAAACATTGTCTTGACATCTTGAAGACTTTGTTTAGATAGCAAATCTTTAACGTGCTGTGAAATCTTGCTCACTATTGGACGGTGTAGGTCGCCCAGAGTTTCCATGCTGATATTCAGGTAGTCACTACTGACGCTGACTTTTTCAGGATAAAAACGCCTGATCCTCTCATTAATGGTGTCATCTTCTCCGATGTCATGATAACAAGACTTTATGAAGTTATAAGGGAGAGGAATACTTATCTCTTCGTTATCGACATAATCCTCTGCCCTCTTTTGTGTCTCAAAGCGATTCATGATGATTTGCCAGTCATTCGGAAATTGCTTTTTAAAGTTTCTTATGAAGACGTCCCCGAATGCTTTACTCATCAAATTCTCAAACTCTCGGTCCACATGAATTCCTCCAAAAAGACCACCAGAGGGGCAGTCCTTTTCTAAGATATGTCCTTCTTCAGCTTGAACTTCATGGACAGTAATATCCAAAGTTCCACCTGCAGAGAGAAATCACATTTGCACAGGTGTCGCAACCTGAGTGGCAAGCAGCAACAGTAATTTTGAAAACAACAGCAAGAAAAATCTTCTTTTCTCTTCCCTTCTAATTCACTTTCGTACTAGACAACGAGATAATAATAACTCAAAAATATATTTTGTCAACTCTGACATTATCCTCAGTGTCCTGCTGGTGATCTTAATCACGCATTTCGGGACTATGACGTTTTTCTGAACCAACGCTCCTTTTTTCTTTGAGCATACATTTTATCACTGGCTTTCCTAGTCGATAGTTGGTTACTAACTAGGTAGATTAGGAGTAAGTTACAGTAAGCACCCACCTCCATTATCCACCACCATGTAAGGAACGTTTTCGTCGTCCAGTGTTTCTGTTACTACATTTTTTCCTTGTTGTCCCACGAACATGTCGAACGGCAGTTTTCTACAATAGTACGAAGCAGCTTCAGGTTCTAGAGCAAGAATCAACTGGTCGGGATCCTCAGGACTTGCCATTTTCGCCTATGGAAACAAAATGGTCAGTGACGATTTTAATCTGAATTTAAATGCATGACGGTTTCCTGGAATTCGCTGAATTTATACGCTGGATTCAAAAACCAAGAATTTTTAATACAAAACTACTATATAATAGCGTTGAAAAAGTGCAAAGATAAATATTTATCAACAAAACAAATCAGAGAATGTGTGTGTCTGAGCCTAAAAAAATAAGGCAATTAACTTTGCAACGTTTGAATAGTACAATCAGTTCACAATTATACGTATCATATCCGATTTCCCGGGATTCATTTATACATTTACGTTATTCGAAATCGTATGTAATTTATTCACACATAGTAATCAAACGATCTTCATCAATAATATCTCGATCGGAATGAAACGTTATGCAACCACTTAAACTATCGAGATTTAAGGATATAAGTTACCTTGTAAGCAGCTTTTCTCATGAACTTTTTAGCAGTAACACTCCATATTGCTGGAATTGTTATAACCCATTGAATCTGTGAGGGTTCGTACATTGCTTCTGCATCGGGGTTGTCCCTTTGTGACTTCAAATGCCGAGCGTTTACGGTATCTGTTGCAACTTTTTTCAAGTATTCAAGGCACTTTGCAAAAACATCTAAGGCTGGCCATTTTTTTCCATTCCTGGCTTCTACTTCTGTTTCTTCATTAAGACCCTAAATAATATTCACAGATGGCATTAGGTTAACGGTTTTAGCTCCATGAAAGCATCGAATGAAGTGTTGAAACAATATATAGTCATATATGAATACAGTCAAACCTTTTTAGCGACTATCCCCCTATTACGCCTATTAACATCCTGCCTTTCCATATCAAAAAGAATTTGGCACAGAGACTGGTTCTAAGCAAGCTATATTATAATGACATAGTATACCACTCACTCCCGGACTATTTAATGAAACGTCTCCAGAGAGTACAAAAGGCTACAGCTAGTTTTGTGCTTGGTAGATTTGTGTCATCCGAAGACATCCTTACGAAACTTAAATGGCTTCCCGTAAAGGAACAACGCGAATGGAACCTACTTAAGGCAACTCACAAAGCCCTTCACAACC